ACTGTTTTTGAGCCAGGTTCTGCCTAATCTGTACTAGTGCCTTTGGTTTTTCCTGCCTAGGTGTAAAACCTTGCTTTTCTCCACATTAAATTTCATTTTGTTGAAACACTAGCAGTGGAATGTTGGAGCAGCATCCTATGCTTAGGGAGGAATGGGTGGGAAAAATATACACCAAGTGTAACTTGAAAGAAAATTTTGGCCTGGGTAAAGGAATAGGATTAGAGTTGGTCTCTGACAGAAGGCCACCTGAAGAGACTAGAAGCATTTGAAATGTGGATTTACAGGCGGCTGTTACATATAAGCTGGGTTGACAAGATCAGAAATGAGGAGGTGATAAGCCGCCTGGGAAAGCCAAGGGAAATCATCAAAACAATTAAAAACCAAAAATTAGAATATTTCGGACATGTGATGCGACACCCAGAAAAATACGGCATACTCCATTTAATCCTCCAGGGAAAGATGGAAGGCAAACGAGGTCCAGGCAGAAGAAGAACATCGTGGCTTCAAAATCTAAGGGACCGGTTTGGACAAAACTCAGCAGCACTTTTTCGTGCGGCTGCTGATAAAAACAGGATCACCAACATGATCGCCAATGTCCAATAACGGATATGGCACAAGAAGAAGAAGAGAGGAGAAAGTTTTACTACTATCTTTACTGATAAGAAAGGTGGATAGTTAAGCAATCAATGCAACAGGGAAATTTGTAACCTTCTTGAGTACTGTAAATAATATCTTTGTCATTTATTAATATAGATATATTAAGCCAATCTAAATGTTGTATAAATGCAGCCACTGGGCCAGCAGACATTAATGAATAAAGAACATGATTCTGTTTGAGCAGTTGAAAATTTGGTTCTTGAGAAAGAATGCATTGAGCCATGATGTCAATTCAAGTTTAATGCAAGATTATGAATACTTACTGCAGTTTCATATGGGAGGAGAGGGCACTGAGTGACATCAGACACAGGTATACTTTTGAGACAGGAAGTCTCCTGGATGGTGTATTCTACGTAGTATGAAGAACCAGAATTCCACTGTAAAAAGTCATAAACTGTTAGAGCAGGTCACATTCTCTGCAGAAAATGTTCCTCATAATCTTGGGTGCCCTATCAATCTTTAATAACCTGAAGCCCTCCAGAGAGTCCCCATAATTCTTAGCACCAGGAGAACTGGAGAACTGGTAGGATGTGGTCAAACGTAATCAAGAAGAAGACACTGAAATATTCAGTAATCAAATTGAATGTAACATTGTCCAAAGATCAAATTCCTATCCATTTGAGAAACTGGATGTTCCTGAGAAGACTTCTAGCAGATAAAATTTAAAATCTTTCAAATCAGATTTCTGCAGACTTTGAGATTTATGCCAGGGGTCTTCAAACTTGGCCCTTTTATGACTTGTGGACGTCAACTCCCAGAATTCGTCAGCCAGCGTGCCTGGCTGAGGAATTCTGGGAGTTGAAGTCCCCAAATCATAAAAGAGCCAAATTTGAAGACCCCTGGTTTATGTACTTTCTTTGGCAATAATGTAGAAATCAATTATCCTCTTCTGGGATTATTTCTATTACCATTTTTAATTTTCTACATTTGACATAAACCCAGGCATTTGTAGCAGTTTCCATACAAATCAAAGATACAGCATCAGGTTTTTGCTCAAAAATACCTGAAACGTTCCTTTGGTGACATCGACAAGGGCAAAATAATGATAGTGATTATTTTCAGCATTGAATTTGGCCAGTGTCTCTCTTGCTGTCTTCTGAAAATCATCGTTAGACGGGTTTCCGGGCCTTGGACAGTCGGGGCAAAGACGTGTAATAACAGAACTAGCAACTTTAGAAAAGCAAAGAATTATTATTAAAAAAGGCGAGACAATACATTTGAATTTGAGCTTGTATATTTAAATGAACCAAAATACAGAAAACCTTGGATCAGCCTGAAAATAAACCATCTCTCTCAAACCTTTAACTCAGGGGTCCTCAAACCTGGTCACTTTAAGACTTGTGGACTTCAACTCCCAGAATTCCCCAGCCAACTCCCAGAATTCCCCAGCTAGCCTGATGCCTTATCCATAATATCAAACTGACTCTTAATCTGGATTACATTTTCTTTCACAGCAGAATCAGATTCTACAATGTGGTAACATCTGATGAATGAATATGTAAAGACTGAAGTAACTTTTATTCTGTGTCCTGATGAAGGAGGTGCCTCTTGATCCAAAGTTCAAACCACATTTGCAACAACTTCCAGCTCACACCATTCACTCTCTAGCTCAGTGGTTCTCAACCTTTTTAATGCCGCGATCCCAACCGGTCGTAAGTCGAGGACTAAACCGGTCGTAAGTCGAGGACTAAACCGGTCGTAAGTCGAGGACTACACAACCGGTCGTAAGTCGAGGACTTTCCCTGCCCGGGAGCACTGTGCATGCGTGGTTCCGCCCCCTGCGCCGGCCGAGGCGTAGCTGGCAAGCGGCAGAGACAGAGCAGGCCGACCACCAGCTGGCCCAGCCCAAGGGAGGTAAGGCACCCGCTGGAAAAGGGGAAAAAATGGCGGACAAAAAAATGGTGGACAGCCTTGCTTGGCGACCCCCGTGAAATGGTTGATCGACCCCAAATGGGGTCCCGACCCACAGGTTGAGAACCACTGCTCTAGCTGGCATAATCAGCCATGTTGGTAAAGCTTGAATCATTCACTAAATGCCTTTGAGGTTCTCATATGCTGAACTGCAAACAAATCAAGTGGGCTGTTTGGCAGAACAGACTGAGGCACAAACTAGTAACTGTTCTTAGTAACCTAACTTAGCAACAAAAGCATATAGTAGTTGCTTAGTAATTTTTCCTCGTTTCTCAAAGTTTAGGCTTCTTCCAAACATTTGTACTCATAAATTTATCCTGGAAGATCAGTTTTAGGAGGTTACAATATGGCATAATAAAGCAAAATAATCTTCAGTGAGAAACAATGCGTTAGAGTTAATATACATTTTAACAATAGCCCTTGCTGGCAGTGGTACGATTCAGCCAGTTCGCACCACTTTGGCAGAACTGGTAGCTAATTTTTTTGTCGCCCAGGTTCAGAATGGACTTCCAGAAGCGGCATCCACACAGAGAACCGGTTGTTCACATATTTGAATCCCACCACTGCTTGCTGGGTTTTAGAGATCAGTAAGGGCTAACCCCTACCCCTAGGCTGATAGTCACAAATGCATCATGAATTTAACAGAATATGTCATTTGGGCCTGACTGGGAGGAAAAAAAATCTAAATTCTGTTTTTTTAATTTTATAGTGAAGGTTGCAATTCAAAGGTTTGCTCAAAAATGTAGGCATTAAGATTGTGTAACACAGTGATGGCGAACCTTTTAGAGACCGAGTGCCCAAACTGCAACCCAAAACCCACTTATGCATTGTTGAGTGCCGGGTAGGTGTGGCCCATTGGGTGGGTGTGGCCCATTGGGTGGGCGTGGTTGCGGTGGTAATGGCAGACTGGGTGGGACTAAAAAGTTCAATCAATCAATTCCAACTTTGCAAGATCTTTTGTTTTCCCGCGAGAAGTTGAACTAGATTGACTGATTGAACCTTTTTTTTTTTTTTTTGCACACGGCGGCGGAGGCCTAAAGCGAAAAGGTTTTATAAAATCCAGCTGAAGGCCTAGGACTGGGGTGACGGAGTGCGTGCCCACAGAGAGGGCCCTGAGTGCCACCTCTGGCACCTGTGCCATAGGTTCGCCACCACTGGTGTAACAGATCGAAATAGTAGTGGTTTTAACCATTCCGTTGTGACTTTATAGGCAAATACTCTCGATGCTATCCTGTCAAAAAAAGATCAATACAGTATATTGAGCAGAATATACTATCTTAATATAAAAAAATGCACTCATAAAAAACTGTCTAAAAATGCATAAACTTGCAACAAACATATATGCAGCAAAAAAGGAAATTGGTCCAAACAGCAGCTATGATTGAGAAACAGAGCAAAATGAAGCTACAGCTGTAGTCTAAGATATCCGGAAGAATGAAACAAGGCTTTAAAATACAATTTGGGGGCTTTTGCATGCATCTGATTTCTGTAGGGAAATCTGTAAAACTGTGATTGGGAGATATATGTGCTTGGATTGACATTTCTTGTAAACCTACATGCAGCAAACATGGGAGATACATACAAGGGCGTAAAGCGCAGCCATATTTGTACAGGAATGAACTCTTTGAATTACTGTTGAACTGAATTATTGCTTTGCATTGGCCAAAGACCTGGAACAAGAGAAAGTAGTTAGTGTTAGCGCCACCCAATTATTTTACCAGTGCTGAAGACATCTGAAATTGAGACCTTGAAGGAGATGTGAATGTTTTGTTTGACAAAGGACGGCGGGAGAGGGGGCAAAGACCACTTTCAATATCCAAAAAAAGGGTCACTTAGAACAAGGGGTCCTCAACCTTGGCTGAGGAATTCTGAGAGTTGAAGTCCACAAGTCTTAAAGTTGCCAAGGTTGAGGACACCTGACTCAAAAGATGGCCAAGAACTGCTTCCTCTCCTTCCAGGATGCAGATGTGGAAGAACCCATTTAAGTTGCAGGCGTGAGATTCAGATTGCATATTCAATCTTCCCATGTGTAAGAGCCATGGGACAGTGGGACAGCCAAGAGAAAATAGATCTCTCTGTCCCTGAATAGGTTTACCAATTGCTCTGAGATACTCTCTGTCGGGAAGGCTGCAGTGAGTGGAGGTTGGATCCATTCATCTCCCTCCCTTCCAGTGCTATGTTTCATGTGTACAATGCCATTGATTTGAAATGGCACTTCAGTGCCTAGAATTATCATCAACACAGACAATGCCAAGGAACCCATGGCAAGACGGGAGAAGCGGCAAAAGCTATTCTGAAGAGACAATTTTGTTGCAATATGGAAAGTGGGCAGCGTGACTCCTTCAGCCTCCTTTGCAAATCAGAGAGTTGACTTCCTTCCAAACCCCCTCAGTAGTTTTGGTTTTTTTTAAGTAAGTAGATTGGTTACTTACAGCTCCCTCTTTATTTCTAAACTCACACTCCTTCCACTTTTTCCCGCTCTGGATATGGCATTTGGTTTCTAACACGTCCAAGATGAGGTAGAAAAGAGAATCACCATTTTTCTACGGACAGACAAAGAAAAACTCCTGAAAAGGCGAATCATGGTGTCAACCCCCTTAAGCACATTAGAGGGAAATAACATTCAAACCACCATTAGAATATTAGAGTTAAAGTATGTATATATTGATTGTATTATGTTTGTTTAGTTAAATTGTAATTTAGATACGGAATGGGATGTGTTTTAGTCCTGTATTTGGTTCCGGGAAGTCCAGGGGGGGGGGGAAGGGGATTAGGGGAATTATAAAAATTGATGTATTTACATGTTATAGGTAAACAATAATTGTATTGACAAGAGGAGATGCTCGGCTGGTATCCCAAATTGCACTCGATGAGGTGGTTAGAAAAGAGATGGGATGTAGGTAGGTGGAAAGGAGGAAGGAGGAGAGGTTGTGGGTTAGAGGGAGGAAGGATAGGAAAGTGAATGAGGGGACTGCCGAGCGTTTCCGAAAATGTATTGACTTGGATTATTTTTTTTCCTGCTTGTGTATGTAAATGCATCATATTGGTATTTGTTGTTTAATTATAAAAATCAATAAAAATTTTATTAAAAAAAATCACCATTAGAAGAAGAAAAAAAAAAAGGACAGGAGATCAGCCGGTTTTTCACTTGATGTCAAGCAACCAATTGTGCTCTCCACTGAGTCCAGCAGCAGGGGGGTCCAAGTGATTTTAATTATTTATTTATTCAATTTAGATGCTGTTCATCTTGCTTTACAAATAATGCGGGCGTAGTTGTGGTGGTCTTGTGATCCAAGACTAACGTCTATTTTTTACCTACTTAACAATATTGCGCACGTGCCAAAAAAGGTTTGCAGTTCTGCTGGGATGCTGCAATGCTGCCGCTTAATCTTTGATGAAAGGGAAGAGAACTTCTAGACCTCAGGATGAATCTCCCATTATTTTAATGTTACAATGGATAGAGACTACATGAAGTATAAACTGGTTACTTTGGAGAGGAAAGGACAGGTTGTATAGTGTAGATGCCTTGGTCCTTAGTCACTCTAAAGCTTTTTCTCTTAATTCTTCCTTGTTAACATTTCCCTCTCTGAATTTAGAACACCAGTAAACTCTTTGAGAATCTTTAGAATAGAATAGAATAGAATAGAATAGAATAGAATGGAATGGAATGGAATGGAATGGAATGGAATGGAATGGAATGGAATGGAATAGAATAGAATGGAATGGAATGGAATACAGAAGAATAGAATAGAATAGAATAGAATAGAATAGAATAGAATGGAATGGAATGGAATGGAATGGAATGGAATGGAATGGAATGGAATGGAATAGAATACAGAAGAATAGAATAGAATAGAATAGAATAGAATAGAATAGAATAGAATAGAATAGAATAGAATGGAATAGAATGGAATGGAATGGAATGGAATGGAATGGAATGGAATACAGAAGAAAAGAATAGAATAGAATAGAATAGAATAGAATAGAATAGAATAGAATAGAATAGAATAGAATAGAATGGAATAGAATAGAATAGAGTTGGAAGGGACCTTTGAGGTCTTCTAGTCCAACCCCCTGCTCAGGCAGGAAACCCTATACCATTTCAGACAAAAGGTTATCCAATCTCTTTTTTAAAACATCCAATGTTGGAGCACCCACAACTTCTGGAGGCAAGTCATCCCACTGATTAATTGTTCTAACTGTCAGGAAATTTATTCTTAGTTCTAGGTTGCTTCTCTCCTTGATTAGTTTCCATCCGTTGCTTCTTGTTCTGCCTTCAGGTGCTTTGGAGAATAGCTTGATCCCCTCTTCTCTGTGGCAGCCCTTGAGATATTGGAACACTACTTTCATGTCATCCCTAGTCCTTCTCTTCATTAGACTAGACATATCCAATTCCTGCAACAGTGCTGTATATGTTTCAGCTTCCAGTCACCTAATCATCTTTGTTGTTCTTCTTGCAGTATTGTTGTAAAGCTGGCCCTGTATCTAGTAAATAGGACAAACAATAGCTTCCCATTTATTCTCAATTTATTAGGGCTACCAAATCTCTTGGGTGCTATCGAGTGATTTTGCAAGAGTTTTTTTTCCCTACCTACATACATATGTGCTCCCAGGATTTGACAGCAGAACGGCTGCTGCTGAATGGAAGGAAAGAAAGAAAAATCAGCAGAAGGAGAGGATCTTACCTTGGGTAGTTCGTGGACATCAAAAATACGCTGGAGGCCAAGAACGTAGCCTTGTTTCCGATTTGAATTGACTTTGTTAAGGGCCACTTCTGCTGCAGCCTTTACCACCACGGAATTGCATGATGGGTAAACAAAGGAAGGAGCTGTCGAGGCAGCCAATGTATGAACTATCTGTATCCCAATTAAGAATGAAATAAAAAAAAACATTTTGGAAATTTTTGCAGAATCAGAGAAGGCAGAAATTGAAACTATGCTGAGAAGAATCAGGTTCTGAAAGAGCCTTACCCATTTATATATACTTTGAAATTAATAGCTGATATTTGTTCTTCTACCTACCATATGGTGGACCGCACCTTTAAACTTCATCCTGTGATTAGAAGTGTATATCTTGGCAGGGGAATTTTCATCTGTGGTCACATTCTTGAATTGAAAGCACTTTCACTGCAGAAAGAACCCTTCCGTCTTTCCTTGGAAGAGTTCAAGAATGCTTAAAAAGTATGGGTATAACTAACATATTATTATTATTATTATTATTATTATTATTATTAGTAGTAGTAGTAGTAGTAGTAGTAGTAGTAGTAGTAGTAATAATAAAAATAAAAATAAAAATAATAAAATTGGAAGAGACCTTGGAGGTCATCTAGTTCAACCCCCTGGCTGTCCAGTCTCTTCTTAAAAACTTCCAGTGTTGGAGCATTCACCGCTTCTGGAGGCAGGTTGTTCCACTGGTTAATTGTTCTAACTGTCAGGAAGTTTCTCCTTAGTTCTAGGTTGCTTCTCTCCTTGCTTACTTTCCACCATTGCTTCTTGTCCTGCCTTCAGGCGCCTTGGAAAATAGCTTGACTCCCTCTTCTTTGTGGCAGCCCCTGAGATATTGGAACACTGCTATCATGTCTCTTCGTTAAACTAGACATACCCAATTCCAGCAACCGTTCCTTATATGTTTTAGCCTCCAGTCCCCTAATCATCTTTGTTGCTCTTCTCTGTACTCTTTCTAGAGTCTCAACATCTTTTTTACATCGTGGTGACCAAAACTGGATGCAGTATTCCAAGTGTGGCCTTACCAAGCCATTGTAAAATGGTATTAATACTTCACGTGATCTTGATTCTATCCCTCTGTTAATGCAGCCTAGCACTGTGTTGGCCTTTTTGGCAGCTGCAGCACACTGCTGGCTCACATTTAAGTGATTGTCCACTAGGACTCCGAGATCCCTCTCACAGTTACTACTATTGAGCAACCTACCCCCTATACTATACCTGTGCATTTGGTTTTTCTTGCCTAAATGTAGAACCTTACATTTTCACCATTGAATTTCATTTTGTTAGATAGCGCCCAGTGTTCAAGTCTGTCCAGATCCTCCTGTATTTTAAGCCTGTCTTCTGGAATGTTGGCTATTCCTGCCAGCTTGGTGTCGTCTGCAAATCTGATGATTTCCCCATCTATCCCCTCATCCAAATCATTGATGAAGATGTTGAAGAGCACTGGGCCCAGAACAAAGCCCTGGGGCATTCCACTACATACTTCCCTCCATGTAGATGCGGTTCCATTGAGGACCACCCGCTGAGTACGGCTGGTCAGCCAGCTACGGATCCATCTGGTGGTGATACTGTCTAACATACATTTTTCTATCTTGTCAAGTAGTAGGTTGTGATTTACTTTATCAAATGCCTTACTGAAGTCCAAGTAAATTATATCCACAGCATTCCTCTGATCCACTAATTTTGTCACTTGGTCAAAGAATGCAATAAGATTTGTCTGGCATGATCTGTTTTTGACAAACCCATGTTGGCTGTTAGTAATGACTTTGTTTGCCTCTAGGTGTTCGCTGATTCGTTGTTTGATTATCTTTTCCAGGATCTTCCCAGGTATTGCGGTCAGGCTGATAGGTCTGTAATTTCCTGGGTCCATTTTTTCCCCTTTTTTGAAGATGGGAACTACATCAGCTCTTTTCCAGTGCTCCGGGATCTTTGAAAAATATAGTTCAATGGTTCTGAGATCACATCTGCCAGTTCCTTGAGAACCTTGGGGTGTAATCCATCTGGTCCTGGTGATTTGAACTCGTCTAGCCTGGACAGGTGCTCACTTACCATTTTCTTGCCTATCTTAACTTGCGTTTCTATTCTGTTTTTTGTGGCACTGTTTTTGGTAGGTTGGTCTGTTTTTTCCCTTTGTGTAAAGACAGATGCAAAAAACCGAGTTAAATAGTTCTGCTTTCTCCCTGTTGCTTGTCACCTTCTTGCCACTTTCACCCACTAGTGGACCAATCATTTCCTTCACTTTTTTCTTGTTTTTTACATGTTGAAAAAAGCTTTTTTTTGTTATTTTTGACTTTGGTCGCAAGCCTTAGTTCATTTTGAGCCTTAGCTTTCCTCACTTCATCTTTGCAGGCTCAGGCTATTTGCTGATATTCTGACTTAGTTATGTGCCCCTCTTTCCACTTTTTATACTTGTCCTTTTTATCTTTCAATTTATCAGAGAGTTCTTTATGCAGCCATGCTGGTTTCTTTTGAGAGCTGTTATTTTTCCTCTTTGTTGGTATTGTGCTAGACTGGGCTTTTATTATCTCACTTTTCAAAATTTCCCAAGCTGCTTGAGTTGTTTTCCCCTTGAGGATTCTCATCCATGGAATCCTTCCCAAGCTCTCTCTAAGTTTATTGAAATTAGCTCTCTTAAAGTCCAAGACTCTAGTTTGACTGTGTTCTATTGCTTGTGCTTCCATAATGTTGAATTCCAATATTGCATAATCACTTCCTCCCAAGGTTTCTGTGGCTTCAACACCTTCTATCATTTCATCTCTGTTAGTGAGAATTAGATCCAAAATGGCTAATCCCCTAGTTCCCTTCTCTACTTTTTGGGAGACAAAGTTGTCTGCTAGGTTTGCAAGGAATCTGTTTGATCTTCCACTTGGTGCAGAGTTTGTCTCCCAGTTGATGTCAGGGTAGTTAAGGTCCCCCATTACTATTGTGATATGTTTCCTACATACCTTAGTTAACTGACTAGCAAAAAGTTCATCTATTTCCTCTGTTTGGTTGGGTGCCTGTAGTATACACCTATGGCAATGTCATTCCCCCCCTTTTATATTGACTCAAATGCATTCAAGACAGGTTTCATCATTGTTGTGCTCTATGTCTGTAGAGATGTAATTGTTTCTTATATAGAGAGCAACTCCGCCTCCTCTTTTATTTGGTCTGTTTCTTTTAAATAATTTAAATCCCTCTAGGTGTGTGTTCCATTTGTGGGTTTTATCCCACCATGTTTCCGTAATGGCAACAATATCATATCTGCCCTCATTAACCTGAATTTCTAGTTCACCCTGTTTGCTGTTCATACTCTGTGCATTGGTGTATAGACATTTGAGTCCTTTATGACTGACCCTGTGTTTACTTTCTACATAACCTGTGTGGTGCCTGAGTTCCCCTATTGTTTTACCACCTATTTGGTTAGTGCACTTTGTGTGGCACTCGCTATTAGAAGCTTGATTTTGCTTGACAGCAAGATTGATATTCTTGTCCACACACACATCTATGTTACATGCACTGATAGCCCTATAATTTTTAGATTGCCAGGGACAGGGATGTTCTGTATCAATTAACTCACTGTCCCCGCTGTTTAGTTTAAATATTCCTCCAGAAAATCTGTGAATTTATAGCCAAGTAACTCAGTCCCTTTCTTTGATGGGTGCAAACTATCTCTTTTGTACATTTTTTTCATTGGACCAGCTACAGACATCGTGACTAATATATCTAAAGCCTTCCCCTTTACACCACTCCTTTAGCCACATATTGAATTGTGGTATGCGCTGGCCTTTTCCATTTTGCTCCTTATATACTGGTAAAACCTCTGAAAAAGTAAGCCTACAGCCTATTCTGCTAAGTTCCTGCCCCAAGCTCTGGAAATCGTTCTGCACAGAGAGTACATCTTTTTGGGACAGATCGTTAGTGCCAAGATGTACAATAGCCTCCACATCACAGCCCCTGCTGCCATTCTTAATTATTTTAGAAATACGCTTCTTGTCCCTACTGGCAGTAGCACCTGGAAGACACCTGATCTCTTTCGAAACCTCTGTGTCCTTTCCTAAATTTACATCCCTTATAATTGAATCACCTACCAGAAGGTAGCTTCTCTTTTTGGATGCCTTTCTGTTCTTGCGTGACTGATGTGTAATACCAGATTCACACTTCTCCCTGTCGAAATCCAGTTCTTCATCTCGGACCACGATTCCCTGCTTATTTGAGTTATCATCACAAATACCTTTACCTGTTTCCTTAATGTCCCTATTAAGGTCAGCAAGGGCACTGTATCTGTTGTGCAGGGACACAGCAAAAGCTTTGCGTTTATGGTTCACAGCTCTCACCCTGCCAGATCCCACGATTGTCCACACTGCCCTTCTCCTGCAGGATCTTTGATTGATACGGTGAGTATTGTGGATGATAAAATAACCTTATGGGTGTGGCTGGTCAGGAAATGGTTCACACAGTCACTGCAAAATGCCTGAGACTGTGAGTGTGACTAGTCACAAGATATCCATTGATGGGAAGACAAAGTGGGATTCTCTCTCTCTCTCTCTCTCTCTCTCTCTCTCTCTCTCTCTCTCTCTCTCTCTCTCTCTCTCTCTCTCTCTCTCTCTCTCTCTCCCCTCCCCTCCCCTCCCCTCCCCATTGTCTATTTTCTCAGATTACTAGCTCATTATAAAGTAATAGTATGCAGTATGTGTTACTGGACTGCTGAAAGGCAGTGGATGACTCTGGGCCTGCCATTATTTCTCAACTCAGTCTATATCACAGGTTGTTGTTTAAATTTAGGGTGAAATTCAGGGGGAGGGGTCCTTATGGACAGTCATAGGTAAAGGGTGGGATATGAATGTAATATCAAGGTTGATGAAAAACAATGCTTCCAATGTTAAAGAGTCCTGGAATTACTTTCATAAGCTACTGCAGTTATTGAGTCACCATGTGACCAGGCCTGATTTTACAACCTTTTTGCAACGGTCATTAAGCAAATGCTGCAGTCTTTAAGTGAACCCATTATACCTCTTATGCATTCTTTACTGGAAACCATCATAATTTTGAATAGTCACTAAGCTCAACTTCCATCTGGGTAATTCTCAGGTTACTTAATCCTTCTAGGACACCGTGGAAAGTTCTTCTTTGCCAGGTCTTCAAAATTACCA